TGTCCACCATGGGTAACCATTATTGCATTTGACACATCAGTGTCACAGTGGTCAGCATCACAGCAACCACGAGTTACCTTGTACAGCAATGCACAGACCAGTGCTATACCACTTAGAAGAATGTTTGACCAAAAACAGTTAAGGGGCCACAGATTAAAATCACCCACCTTTGGCTCGGTAGCATCACTTTCTATCCACTAGGCCAACTGAGCTCGTTGTTGTGGTTGTTAAGTGCCATTGAGTTGAGTCGTAGATGACTCATAGCGACGTTCTGAATGACTGGGAGGACTCTGCCACTTCCTCAGTTTCCGACTGCATTAAAAAACCAAGGCACCGTTCGAACTCCGTGAGCTCAAGCATTCCCACTGTCTCCCGCCACACAAAAGTGCCTGAATGGGAGCATTCTGACGCTTCCTCAGTTTCCCACTGGATTTAAAAAACCAAGGCATGGTTTAAACTCCGTGAGCTCAAGCATTCCCACTGTCTCCCGCCACACAAAAGCTCCTGACTGGGAGCATGTCCCATATGAATAAAATCTTTCTATAGTATTCACTTCATTTTAAACATTGATCTTAAGTTGGATTTTTATTAGAAAATCAGTCACCATTCTCTTTTGTGGTAGTGATTATTGGATGCTTAAAATAACTCCTGACATTTTTTTCCTTCTTTATTTTGCTTGTTAAAACATCTTTGTTTTTATTTAAATCATAGCTTAGATGATATTTGAATTCCAATCGAATGGAATTTACACATTGAAAGCTGTATTAGAAACATGTCTCCATTTTAATGCACTTCATCACAGAAATTTAATTTGTAGGGAAATAAGTGTTCTTGAGGAGCGCTGGCTGTTTAACCTAAGGCAGAATGAATCAGCTAAATTATGTATTTCTGAAGGTTTTTAAAAAGTCTTGACAAATACTTAAGCATTATCCTGTACCAGTGATAATAATCTCTGTGCATGTAAAGTAGGCCCTAGAGCAGTGTGAACATTCTAGAGTAACACTAGGGAGTTGCACTGCAGAACCCATGGGCATGCGTCTTTGGTGGTTCAAATCTACCAGCCGCTTTATAGCAGGAGGATGCAGAGTCTCCTCCTATTACAGTTTATGGCCACAGACTCCTTGACGGAGGGTCTCAGTGAGGCAGAACTGACTCAGCACCAGGGAGCTGGAGTCTGGAATGTCTTGTGCCATTTCTATTCTATTCTATCCCCCGCACCACCCCAACAGTAGAAAGTATTAAAAGCGTATTATGTTCCAGTTGAGGTCTGTGTGCATGACCATCTACTGGATTTGATGATTGATTGACTTTGAAAACATGATCTAGGTGTGATCTTGTGATTCTGAAGATTCCAACTCATTCCTGAGCTTTCCAATTACATGATGTAGTGATGAGAGTTAAACATCTAGTGGCTTGGATTGCCTGTTTTAATGTCAGTTGAGAAACAGAAATGTCTTAAACATAATAGGTCTGGAGACTGTGAGTAATTTTAGGAACTTAGTGTTTTAAGCTCAGAGGCTGCTTCTGAGCATAGAGGTTAAGCTTTTTGGACGTCCTTCTGTGCAGTTTCCCCAGACTGTTGTGTGTGATTCTTTCAAATCACTTGTTACATCAAGTTGCCGAGCTCAGAAATGCCAGATATTTATTTCTGTTCTATGCATTGAGGGTGAATCTGTATGTAAGTCAGAGCAGTTAAGTAACGTCCATATCTAATGTCTATTAGTTAAACACTTGTATTCATATATGTCATAAAAACATTAAAGGAATACTTCCAGATACAAAAAGCCATCATTTACCTAATAATTCAGATATAATAGTAATAATACTGATGTTTTGGTGTGTGTCACAAAGTAGTTCCCATTTTCAAGATGATAGGCTTTATACTTACATTGGACTTCCTTTAAATTGGACAACCCAGAAAATGCCTACAAAATTTGGTTGTTTTAAATATTTAGTGAGGGAACTTGGTCAGGGACAGCCCTGAAAGCTTCCAACACAAATTATTCATTATCGGCACTTAGGAAACATTTTGTAGTGTAACCGTTTGTGAATGTTTAGCTCTTGTTGTTTTAAATCCTAGCTGACGCCCTCCGAGTTCCTGAAGGAAATGTCTCTCACCACCGAGGAGAGACTGGCGAGTACACACGTGATGTGTCGGCCGCAGATCATAGAACTCCTGGATATGGGGGAGACGACACATCAGAAGGTAGCTGGGAGTGACTGTATGAAACACAGTGTCAGTGAAGGAGAGAGAGAGAGAAAGAGAGAGAGTGTGTGTGTAAATGTGCATAATAATAAAAAAAGGTAGCTGCTTTCTGTCGTATTTCCTCATGCATATTCTACAAGGCATGAGCCTCCTAGAGCAACTAAATGGCAAAATAATCCCTCTTGTTGCTTGATCAATTACTGAGTCACTAACCAAAAGGTCAGCAGTTCAAATCCTCCAGTGGCTCGTTGGGAAAAAGATGAGGCAGTCTGCTTCTGTGAAGATTTACAGCCTTGGAAACCCGTTAGAGCAATCCTGCTCTGCTCTGGGTGCTGGGAGTGAACTCGACTTCCTGACTGGGGGTTAAGCCCTCCTTTCTGCTTCTCTGGATCTTTATATGTGTGACTTGCTGTGGAAAAAATGGCAGTAAGTGTAGATCTCCTTTAAAATGCCTCTCACGCGTCACACTTCTTCCTTGACTGCTTCAGTACACTGTTTGACAATGTAGTTTACAAAATCATGAACTGTATTAGCCAAGCCTAATGAAATTATCCTTTTGCTATACAAGCAATTCCTTCTTACCTGAGTTGTCATCACTAGAAAGAAGGATTGCTTATGAAAGTAGGTATTTGTTACCGATTCTGGCTCGTCAGAACAAATGTGGAGCCATCTCAGTCAGACCAAAAAGCTCACCTGCTGCTGTGGAGTTGTTTCTGGCTCATAGCAAACCCTACAGGACAGGGTTGTGGTTGTTGTTGTGTACCATAATGTTAGAACCGTCATGGTTGACCCTCCGGCAGGTTTTCAGAGGCAGTGAATAATGCAAGTGTTGTTCACCTTTTTTTTCTCCCCCATGCAGCAACTGATGGACTAGAACCATGTCCTTTTGGGGTTGGCAGTGCAACCCAAGCCATCTTAACCCCTAGAATAGACCTAGAATAAACCCATAGAGTTTCCAACACTGTGTCCTTTTATGGAAGCAGAGGAGTTATTGTGGGTTTGAACCATTGACCTACCGATTAATAGCTAAGCACTTAACTACTATGCTGCCAGGTATCCTTAGCCATCTCAGTGGACATCACTGAAATCATCGCAACAAGAGGCAATGTGGTGAAATACATAGCGGCTTTTAAAGCTTTTACCTTGAAGTGTCATATATTGCCTATAATCTCATGATCATGTCTAGTTTCAAAGGAAGTAAGAACTTGCAGTCCTAGCATATATCTAAAAGACAGAAAGCAGGAAATATCTGGTGACTGCTACTTACTTACGACTAACCTAGAGGTAGCGGAATGAAGTTTTTACTTGTCAGATTGTAGCACTAATCAATACTTTTACCTTTTTTTCCTGCATAATGCAAGATTTCAGAACTCATTCCTTCCATTTTATCCTTCAACTGATTACTATGATATTGATGGTTTGGTGGTTTTAAAAATTCTGTGTAATATTTTGAACCCCACCGTTTAATACCATTGTCATATTAGTTCCAATTAACTCCTCTGTCCACACTTTTGTTACTCTTTTCTTTCCTACAAAGCTCAACAGCTTAGATCTGTTTCTTCTCTTTGTTTCTTTCCCTCTCAAAGTTGATGCCATTTCTTTTTCTATTTTTATCTCTCTGAAAATGCCTTTATTTCAGTTTCCTTCTTGAACGTCCAGGAGGGCGTTCATTGATCCAGCTTTTCTGGTGATTTTCACAAGGAAATTAATTCCAATTACTCCTCTCACCATTGCCAGAAATTTAAGTCTGGGGTTGATTTGTTCTCGCTAATGTTTTGGTTTTGTTGTGTTGTTTTTTAAAAAAAATTGAAGTCCAAAATGTAATACTTTCTCTTGTAGTAAAGAAATTGCTAAAAGTAACACCACCATTGATTGTGATTATTAATGTTTATAGCAGTTAGGCCCTTTTCAAATGTGTCCCATGTTCTTAGTTTTAATTTCCACAGGTGTATCTTAGTGTGACATATTTTTTTACCTTGCTGGACATTATTTGTGTTACAGTTTGATGAATTTTCTCTCTTGACTGCAGTTTTCAGAAATTGACCTGGATCAAGCATTGTTTCAGCCCTTTCCGTCAGAAATCGTGTTTCAGAACTACACTCCCTGTGAAGTCTATGAAGTTCCCCTGATCCTGAGGAACAATGACAAAGTAAGTGTGTTTGCTGAGATGCATGAACCTTTCCAGGGTGCATAGAATGGGGCAGAGTAGAGTGGGTACTCTCGAATCCGAGGTCATTTTTAAAATTACAACTTGAGAGAACGTAGACAATAGTCTGAAAGGCAAGCCCTTGGACTGGAAGCGCAGTGAAGTCAAGCTTACATCATCGGGTTGTTGACTGGTTTGTGTTCAGTCACAGGACAGTAAATCTCCAGCACTAGGACTGTGTGGTGAATGAAAGACCAACTCATCTTCTTCTTCTTCTTCCCGTTGCTGTTGGGTTGATTCTGATTGTAGCTGATCCTTCTGAAGGTTTCCAAGACTGTAGAGCACACAGGAGGAGACTGGTGGATTTGAACCACTGAAGGCACAGTGTCTGTGGGTTAACGGCGCAGCTCCTGCTGGACTATGTTACCAGATCTCAAAGGATTTGACCAAGTGGTTGGACTGAAGGCTACTCACATGACCAGCTGGGTTAGATGTTTCGTTTAAGTCAAGGCAGTTACTTGTACCTACTCTGCACTAGTGCTTTCAAGTCCTGCCAGTTGAATCAAGTCCACCTCCTGGTAACCCTCCTTCCTGTGTGCACAACCGCTCCTCACAATGGGAAGCCACTGGCCAGCTTTCTCCTGAGCAGCGGCTGCTGGATCCAAACCCCTGGGGGTACGCTGCCTCTGAGTTAACAGCACACACTGCAGACCCCACCACCCCAGCTCCCCTTACACTAGAGTCACACTAATCCATAATTCAGCGTCGGAAATCCGCTTAAAGGGATTGCGGTCACTGAGCCAGAAGTACATTTAAAATTCTACAAATTAAAAAAATTATTTTCTCTTACAGAAATGTAAATCTTGTTTTTCTCTTGTCCTCTCTCCTCCCTTCTACTTCATATAGACTTCAGATTTTGTCGTCTTAAGATACTTTGGAAAGTCTTCCCCCGTCTCTCCTTTGTCTCTGCAATTGCAGCTGAGACTGTCTTCTCTAGTTTTTCTGTCTTTTTCTTTGAAGATTACTTAGGGCTTTTTCCCAGACACGATATTAAATGCCTAGAGATTTCCTTAACATCTATCAAGAATGAAAGACAGCAGAATCCAGAAGGTCAGCTTGAAGCACTGCTGAGTGTGAGTAGTAATCAGATGGAGACGAAGGCATCTGAGAGATGGCTAAACTTCAGGTGTGAAGACAATAGTAATACCTAGAGGAGTCTCAAGATGTGGACACAGAAAATTCTAACTATAAGAAAAAAGAGAAGAGCACCAAAGCCTGGGCAAGAATCCGGGGAAGATGGGAAGGCTTGCAGCTCTCATCAGTGTGGTAGCTCATTAACGGAATCAGTGATGCCTTTCAGAGATCAAGGAGGTGATTTGGTGACAGCAGAGTCAGACTCTGGAGAAAATGCTGCATTTGGTTCTTTGCTGCAGCATTCACAGGAGAGGCTCGTGGGACAGGCTAAAAGGGCAGGCAGAGGGAAGAAAAATAATTGGAGGCGCTCAGGGTTACCTTCCTAGACTTCAAGAAGAAGTACATTATATAGACATTAAGACTCTCTTCCTGTAGGATTGCTGGCTAATTCCGTTTCTTACGTCCAGTTCTCCCCTTTCTCCATTACTGTGTGACTCTTACTCGGGTATTTTTAGATTATTCAAGGCAGAGAGGAGGAACGCCAAAGGAACGCCTGGTTGCTCCACCCTGACCAGAAATTAGGAATGATTATCTGTAGCTGTACATTGGCAAATCAAGGGCAAAGGGCTTATGTAGGTTTTGTTTGCCAAAGGGAGCTCAGTACCCGTAAGTCAGCTCTTAGAGGTAAGATGCAGCCTGAGTGTTGGAGGACACACTGTGAAGAGGGGGAAATGCAGCTACCAGCAAGCAGACACCTTCCTTTCAGAGGCAGGCTTAGTCCCTCCCACGACCCCTGTTCCTGTGGCTGCTGTCAGGCCTTCTCCTCCTCTCTTGCCTTAGTTCAGGGTCTCAGAAGGAATCATGGAACACTGAGAGGCTCGCTGTACCATTCCCTGTTGGCCTGCTTTCTCATGGCGGGACAAAGACAGCTTGTTTGGACATTATTTTTTCTGTCTTTTGCACACACCCCCCTACACCCACACACACAGGGTGAGAATAAATCGTGACCACTCACTAACCACAGCACAACTCTGCTGAGCTTAGAATTTATGGACTCCCAGACTCCAGAGTCAGAGGAGTTGCTTTAGCTATGCCATCTGTCTGCTCGGGACTTTAGGCACGTCACTTCACTTCACCAAGGCGTGGGATAAAAATAGTACCTATTTGGATGAGCTGTTTTGAATGCTAATTAAATCAAATGAACCTTAATCTTAAAGCTGACATCGCTGCTATCCAATATTTCAGAAAGGTCTCTGAGAGCCAGCTTTCCCAGTGTAATACGTCTTTGGTTTCTTGACTGCTGGTACTGAAGATGTTGATTGTGACTGAAAGCAAGATGAAATCATTGACAACTTGAGTCTCTTCGTTATCTATCATGATGTAGTACTTACTTGGTCTTTGAAGATCGCTCCATTAAAATAACAAAAAGGGCAAAAGGTTGTAGTAATACTAAAAATGAGTGCTAATAATAATGTTAATAAAAATTAGTGCTAAAATGTATTAAATGCCCTCTTAAGTTGGATACTCTAGAGAAGCAAAATCAGTGAAGTGCATGCTACGTGCTCACGCACGTACACACACGCACAGGGATGGGGAGATGTACCAAGTGTCGAGGTTGATGAGTCCCAGGTTTGTGGATCAAATCTCAGGAGAGAGAGATCTGCAGGCCACACACTGCTGGCTTCAGAGGCAGTAAGGTCGAAGTTGGAAAGTAAGGTAGGCTGCTGGTTCAGGTCTAGAGCTAATGACCTAGATTCTAGATCTAAATTGGCAAAAGTGTGAGAACTTTGCCAAAGAGCCCAGGAGTCATCTCATCAGTACATAACTGCCTCTGATCACAGGCATTAGAGAGGTTAGGATCATGGGCAGGATGAAAACAGTACCCACCACTCCGAGTGCTTGCTTTGGGCAGGATTCTGAGCTAAAGGTAGAACCTGTTAGCTGCTTTTCACTTGAGGAATCTGAAGTTCAGACCTGACCAAGGTGGTGCAGTTGGTAAGGAGCAGATAAAGCATTCAGTTGGTGCTTAATTCCGAGTCCTCTGCTTTGCTTGCAGATTCCAAGGATGGTCAAAATCATTGAGGAAAGTTCACCTTACTTTAAAATCATCAGTCCCAAAGACATCGGTCACAAAGTAGCACCAGGAGTGCCATCCATCTTCCGAATCCTTTTCAGTCCAGAGGAGAACAAGGTAACTGCCACATGGGCGTGAAGTAGGTGCCAGCCCCCATGTGACCGAGTCTCTGTCACCTGCAGTTTGCCATTGCGAATGTTGATCGAGATGGTTGGGACTTGGGGAGGGAAGGGAGGTGCTGTCAGGAGGGGATGGTACATCTCTGAGAATGAGGGAGGAACGTCCTTTAAGTGGCCACAGTGTGAGGAAGGATATCTGCCCTCAACCCTCTGCCCGAGCATATTTAAACCCCAAAGTACAGCTGGAGGGACATAAAAAGGAAAAGGGGTGGCTCAGGTGCCGTGAGCCAACGCAGATGCTAACAATTGTTGCTTGTTGGAAGGTTAGGACCCTTGTTGCTTCCATCTTTCCTCAGATTCTAGGTAGTTTAGGAAGGAGATACAGGACCCAAATATTGATCACAGCGTTCGCTTCATCAATGGAAGAAGAATATGGCCAGGGCCTGGGGACTGGTGGAAGAGGCCTGCTCCCTCTCCCCAAGGGATGGTGGAGAACCTGCAGAGAAATTGATCTACTTGCCCTTAATTCCCTATCAGTGACCTAGAAAGAGGCTAAGTGAAGGAGGAGGAGGAGGCGTGACTTGGGGCCACACACAGCTGTGGGGAATCCAGCCCACTGTCAGTCTCCTCCATTCCTCCCCAGATGAGGGTGCTGGGGGCGGGAACTGAGGATGGAGGCTTCCTCTGCAGCCTTTACCCGAGAAGACAGAGTGCTTGGGAGACTTTCCTTCCCTGGCCGAAGTGGGAGCCCTGGCAGCATGGTTCATGCATTGTGGCTTGAAGTGCTAAGCCAAAGGTTGGCTGTTAGAGCCCACCAGTGCGTCCAGGGGAGACGGATGGGCATTCTGTGAAAGTGTGTGTCTTCAGAAACCCAAGGGTGGGTCACTGTTAGCTGGACTCCATGACAGGGGGGGTTTTGATGGTGGGTTAATGTTGGGCACTTGTGGGAAAAGGAGAGGAGTTTTACCAACATGATTAGATTGTGGCAGCAAAGACAACTGAAATGAGCATAAAGAAGTTTCCCTATAAGGTTATATGTAATAGTAATCCCTAAACTAGACACTAGACCCACTGCTGTGAGTCACTTTAACTCACAGCGAGACTGCAGCGCGGTTCAAAGGCTAGAATCTCAGCAGCACAGATGGCCCATCTTCTCTGAGCAGTGGCTGTGGGTGTGAGCTGCTGACCTTTCAGGTGCAGCCCGGCTTGTAAACTGGGCTTACAGTTTCCTCAAGGGCTTCTTCTGATGGTAATAGTTGGTATGTTAGTCTGAATTGCCCAGTAGTGGAGTCAGTGAGAACTTCTGTTAGTATCATGACCAGGATTCCTGCCACCACTGCTGCTGTGTTTCTAGACAGCAGGCATTTAGGATTTAACTTGGTCTGCCCACCATGTATGGCTGGAGTGGGTGGTTAAAAATCCCATTATATTAATACTGCTGCTATTATTTTGCCAGTTCACATTATTACTATTTATTTCTCTGGTTGTTTTTATGGTATTGTATTTTGTTTCACATTCAGGCGTCTGAATCAATTTGACAGCAGTGGGTTTAATTTTCTTTGGGGTATTATTGAGATAAATTAGAAGATAAATAGTCCCAGAAGTAGGGAATTTTATTTTCTATTACCAAAGCCCTTGGTGTGTGTTTTGTTTGATTTCCCCTCTCCTCTTCCCTTGTGGCTCTGTGTGCATACTCTCTGTGAAGAGACTAGAACTTGGATTTCGTTTGACCGTCAGATCCTCACATTGTAGTTCTGCTGGAGACACCTGTGCGGTTATAGAAACGTGGTTGTGTTCTGCAGGTTGTCCGGCTGTGCTAGGCGTGGGGAACTTTCTGAGGACGTGGGCACGTGTGGTGCATGGGTGAGTTCAGTGGTCACCATTGTCCATTAACATCTATGCATTCACCTGTATATCCATTTCCCCTTAAAAATGTGAAACTAACAGAGTGATGGTACAAATGAAACAGAATGAGGAAATGTTAAGGATTGATGAGTCTGGGTGATGGACACATAGGAATTCGTTATCCTAGACTATTTGCTTTATTTATATTTTACATTCTCCATATTCAGAAGCTAACAGAAAAGGGACTTGTTGTTGTTTTAACTGCTTCCCTAAACAACAAACAAATCACTGAGCTGTAGTTTAAGTCTAGCTGCATTTACTGTATAAACATGAACCGCTAGCATTTCCAGTGAGGATCATTACTTGGCTCTGCATAGTGGCTGCTGACCTCACTCCTACCTTTAAAATTTTGCTGTAGTCTTTCATCTGTCTTAATATTTCATGTCTATAGGGATATATCAGATTTGAAAATCAGCTAAGTTCAGTATTGACCTGCTATTTATTCTTCTAAACACTTGCAGTTGTCAGTGGCTGCAAACACGTGTGAGGAGACACAGGGGAAATAATGGCTGAGAAACTGTGACGATGAAGTAGCTGAAGCACTTGGTTGCTGACTGAAAGGTCATCAGTTCTAACACACCTCCGACTCCTCAATGACAGATACAGCTTCTAGAAAGATTTCTGTCTCAGAAACACTGTGGGGACAGTTCTGCTCATCCCTCCTGGGTCGCTACGAGTCAGAATCGACTCTGTCAATGAGTTTTGAGCTATTTTGCTGTCAAGTTTTGAGTACATTGACATTTGATGTTGGACTTGAGTGTAACATGTGAGCACTGAAGTAATACTCAGAACTCCTTTTCCTGAAGTCAGAGTTGTTCTCTTCTTTTGTGGACTAATGCAGACAAGCATTCGGCGACCCTCGTGGCAGTAGTTTTTAGCGGTCTTTGGTCTGCCAAGATCCCGGTGTGCTTGCACTTTGAGCAAGGCCCCGCTCTTAGCACTGCTAGCCTTGCGGCACCTCCGTCCACCCTGACTGGTGGAGAGCCACATGGCCATGCCCAGCACATCCTGCTCGGTGAGCCACACCGTCCTCAGGACAGCACAGAATATAGCCCAGACTAACAAGAGATAGATGTGCTTTAGGGAGAAGAGAAGTCAGTCCTTTCACTCAGCTCTTCACCCGTGGCTGTTGAGTCACACCGGCTCGTAGCTGACCTTCCAAGTGGGTTTTCAGAAGCCGTCAATCACATGGGAGGAGATTGTTTATCTTCCCTCCTTGGTGGAGTCGAACTGCCAGAAAGGCACCACCTGTGGACTAGCAGCACAACTTTCTTTCTTTTTTTTTTTTTAATTATTTTGTGTGCGTGTACCGTCAAATCAGATCTGACTGGTACAGGAGGATATTACGCCTCCTTCTCCGGCAGAGCATCTGGTGGATTCGAACCGTGTTCCTCTGGGATTGCAGTGTAGCTTCTTGCCACTAGGCCACCAGAGCTCCCTTTCTCCCCACTAGGCCGCCACTGTCACTTTATCTTCAGTTGCCCAAATTGATAGCCTGAGTACATATGCATATCTTTTCGTCTCTTTCTCCCCTGCTGATCTAAGCCCGCCCATCCTCACTTACCCTCCTCACATCTGGAGGTTGAGATATGCAAATTGCAGCATGCCACAGCCTAATAAGCCAGTCCCCTTACCCATTGGATTTTCAGCACTCATGCATATTAGCATGTCCAAGATGATCATGCACTTTTTCCCCCCCTGTCATCTACTTATCTGGCTTCCTGGGGATTTAACTTGTTCAGGGTGCCAAATACTCAGATAGCAGGTGCAGTCAGTTCACTTTGGCTTTCCTTATCTCTGCCTCTCACGCTGACATTTTTTATTTTTGATGACTGACTATGTTATTAATCTAATAATCTTAATAGACATGTCGTGCCCTGTGGAAAGATGGTATCAATGTTACCATAAAAGAACACCGTGAAATTCTCGAGTCGAGTGTCTTTCTTGACCTCTGCAACTTGCATCTTTATGGCTAAGAGAAATGTGAAAAATATTGGGCTTTCATGAGAAAGAAATATAAGGTACTTAGTCGGAGTTTAAGGTAGCATCTGTTTACAGCGTGCTGTCCTGTGGGCCAGGAGAGCCAGGACTGGAAGGAGGATGCAGGGAGGTGGTTTTATTGCCCAGTTATGTCTTAGGAAAATATCCAAGTTGGAATATTTTCTAATTGGTTGTCAGAGTAGTTTTGCTGATTTGTGGCTTATAAAATTTAAAACCTGAGAAGAATAGAAAAACGTTCACATATTTTATTTATCTCAATATTTAATAATGAACAACACTGCCAGCATTTGGAATGATGGCATAGATAACATAAAATTTTCCACAATCAGATCTTACCCTACTTTTGTTGTTGGCACTTAGAAGAAACTAATGACATGGATTTTGCTTTCTTCCTGCCTGGAATTAGCCCTCCCCCGAACTTGCCATCACTCTCTAGTTCTGTCTGGCATAGCGAGTAACAAGCTGTTGTTGTTAGGTGCCGTTGTGTTGAGTATGAACAACGCACCTGAACCCTTTCCTGTCCTGTGCTGTAATGACAATCTCTGACACACTCACGCTCATCGCCACAGTCACTGTGACAGTGTACTTGGTTGAGTGCCTTCCTCTCCTTTGCCATCCCTTCACCTTTTCCCGCATGATCCCCCTCTCCAAGGAATAGCCTCCCTTAACAACATGTCCAAAGTGTGTGAGATGAAGAAGCTTCATCACCTTTTACCTGCAGGGAGCACTCTGGCTGCACCTTTTCCAAGACACATCTATTTGTTTTCTTCTGTTGGCAGTCCATGGGATATCCAGCAGTCTTTCCCAACACCACAGTTCAAAGGTGTCAGTTACTCTTCTGTCATTCTGAAAAAGACTATGACCTATACCAGGTACTCCTTAGTCCTCAAACTGACATAATTTCTCCTCCATAATTTGGAGAGGTTCCTGACCACACCCTTTCCCAGTGCAGTACATCTCCTGATCTCCTGACTGCTGGTCCAAGTATATTGATTGTGGATCCAAGTAAGATCAAGTCATTGACAGTCTCAATCTCTTCTCCATCTATCACGATGTACGTATCAGTCCAGTGTGGAGGGTTTCTGTTTTCTT